ATAAAATTTTTGAAAAAAACGCAAAAACTTTGTTGCCAACCTAATAGTATAAAAAAATATGACAAATACAGGGAGAAATCATTGTTTTTTCAATAAGTCAAGAAGTACTCATCCTGTTAGGTTCATCTTCTAAATCCAGTGAAATATTAAGAGTAAGTTCTGTAGAAAATGTCAGCACGATCACGCTCTCTTTTCGATACTTATTACATAAACAACCGAATGGACACACTGATTGATTATAGGAGTGTATTCACTTTCGAAGTGCATCGCAATGTAAATTTGAAAAAGTCCCTTGGCGGCGGAATAAAGCACAACATTTTCAGAGTGAGTGAAAGAAGCACGTTGCATTACCATACATACAGTGTTGTGAAAATTATAGAATCACTTGTTTCCTTTCGCTTTCATCATTTTTGTGGATCTCACATTATTTTTCGAAGAAAAATAGTGAGTGTAAGTTCTGTATCGAGAACCTTTGGACCCCCTCCCTCCATGGGCCGCAAGCCGCTACGAGGTCACAGGATCCAAGGACAACAGGAGCTATACAGGCACGGCCCTACAGGACTACAGGCGCTACACAGGGTACAGGCACTGCAACGATTATTGTAGCCGTATGACCTATAGAAGTATTAGAAATGTAGAGAGTATTAGAGTTATGGAACATAGAAAAATGTTATCAGCGTATTCAAATTTCTATTATTTACTATTCAAGTAAAAATATTTGCACTGCAAATGCAGATTTGTTATTTTTCGCTGTACTGTTTGGACCTTACTCGGTATTATTTAAATTATGCGAAAATGGCCCAACGTGCACTTTACTCAGAAAAATCTTGGTTTGTCTGGAATTCTAAATAATTCTGACCGAATATTTCTATATTAAACTAAGGACAATCGATTGTACAGGTGTTTGCAAGTTTCTTTGCAAACACCTGTAACTCGACAAGGACTACAGAGAGAGGATCGGAAAAAGCTGTTTTCAGAACTCTTCTCGGAGATATACAATTCTCCAATGTTCATAGTGTACCTTCTAATGAGCTTTACGCTAGCTAAAATAGTGAATTTTCACTATCAAAATATCGTACCAGTGGCGTAACGAAGGGTGAGCTAGGTTGGGTGCCGCCCAATCACCAGCCATTCGTTAAAAACTAGTTTTTGTGAAGATAAAATGATAAAATACTACTCGTTCATATTCGCTCGCGGCTTTTCTTGGATACGGAGAAGTTGTATAAAGAATTCAATGGAAATCAATCTGACTTCTACCAACAGAAATCAATGTGAAATCTTTGAAGATCTTCATACAAATTCTGACAGTTTTCAATGATTTTTCATAATGTATAATGACGTCAAAGAAATTATCAGAGCTTATTAGAAATTGCTGGAGCTAACGAAATCGAAAAATCTGTTTACCCTTCGTTCATGACATTATGGTAAAACTATGTCCCATAGTTTTTGGATAAATAAGGTGAGACGATTCACGAGTCTCTTGTACATGATCAATAGCCTTTTATTGAGTGAAGGAAAGAAAGACGCCTCTACTGCATATTCCTCATCGTTTATATAGGTTTCGGTATATGCAGCATCACACCATACTTGATCAGCTGATCAAAGGGTAACTCCCTCTGATCACCCAATCCAGGATCCACGTGTGAACTATCATGAAAGAAGAAGTGCGCACGCTATATAAAAATAAGAAAGGCTGAAGTGAGGACACAAAAAGGTACTCTGCTGAGTGCATAAGAAAGATGTGAGTGCAAGCGGATCGTCACACAAGTGACATTATTTCCGGAACTTTTTTTGAAGTTAAATACACAGGCCAGAAAAAATGAAACTTTTGCGATTAAAAAAATGTATAGATATGCAAAATCATACAACGGCCTTCCCTAAATCAAGTCAGTTTTCGAAAAAATCCTCGAAGCTGAGATAAATTTACAGGAAGATAGTCCGTCTTCAAATCTTTGGAAAGCCATCATTTTTGTGTACTCAAAATGTGAGTACACTATAGAATCGGTCAGTATGCCCGGCCGTTAATCCGATAACTCCTGAAAGAATAATCCAATTTTCATGAAATTTGATACATAGCATTATCTTGTAAATGCCTCGGTCGAGTTCGAAGATGAAAAAGTTGAAGATTTGCGTGTTTATCCGCTTGTTCGCTTTGCATTCACTTTTTTGTATCAGCTATGGCCACGAAACCTTCTGTAGTGTTTCTTTGGATCCAGAAAAATGCTGATTGGCCAGTGAAGGGGTAGGCCTGGGTGAGATCTGGGTGGAATTTCACCCAAGCGATTTTGCATCAGAAAAAGTCACGAAATCTTTCATAGTGCTACTTTGAATGTAGAGAAACATCGAAAGAGAGTTAGTGGGCCAGTAATCAGGGTGGGTAAGGATGGTGTGAGTGAAGTCTCACCCAAATGGTTCTATAACTGAAAAGGCCGCGAAACTTTGCATGCTGTTTCCATATGTCTAGAAAGCATCAAACGACTGTTCGCATACTAGTCAGGATGATAGGTGTTGACGACATGGGTGGGGTCTGGGTGAAATTTCACCCACGTGATTTCGTGTCAAGACAGCACGCCAAACCTTCCGTACTGCTTTTGTGGGCATAGGGAAGGATAGATGGGTTGTTAGGAAGCCCGTAAGGAGATTGACAAGGTCGGCGTCGGTGAGTTATCGTCCAAGTGATTCTATGACATAACAGTATATTGTACATGTCGCACACGAGTTCGAAGATGAGCGCGATCGACTGTAATACTACTAACTTACAAAAAAATTTCTCAGATTCTTATGCGTTCCATCTGATACACTTTTTGAAGTACACATAGCTTTCGGATAAAGTCCGAAGTTTTCGCATTTATTTATTCTCAAAACTTCTTTTTTCCTGAAAATCAGAAATCTTTTTCGTTTTTTCTCAGTTTGGGGTTTTTAATTTTGTTGCTAAGATTTCTCAGTCGTTATCGATGGTATACTTTTTTGTTTAATAGAGCATGTCAGGATACAGAGCACTACCGAGTGCTTTTTAATTAACCTTTTTTTCTATTAAAGATTCCAGCATTTATATAATTAGGCGCCCTTTTTTTAGCTTATAGAACCTTAGATGCATTTTTTTGTTGAAAAAGAAAGTATTTAAAAGAAGGACTCTGTAGTGCCCTGCATCTTGAGATGCTCTCTCCAGCAAAAAAAGAAAAAAGACTACCATGGCTCTGGGCCGAGAAGTCTTGGAAATAAAATGACCTATTTTTCGCCTTGTTTGTTTCATATCTCATGAAAACAACGTGATATCGAGCTGAAATTTTTACCAGAGACTCCCCTCGTTAGCCCATTTGAACTTTCCTACGCCAAGTTCGCTTTTTAACGGGGGGTGGTGGTCCTAAATAAACTTAAGTCACGATTGACGTTGTGTAGCTTTGGTTCCAAAGAGCGTACGAGAAGTCGACAAAGTTACTAGATAATATGTTTCTACCAAGAAGAAAAGGCGAATGTTGGGATTCTTTTAGACGTTCTGAGAATTTTTCAGAAAAGTTTTGCTTTTTATGAAACATGATCTGAAAGAGTGTTGCAATAATTATGAATAAAGATTTGGAATTATCATCCTCTCCACAGACGTAACAGGTAGATACAATAAGTTCGCCACAAACAGGCGCCTAAAACATAATCAGCAGTCACCCAAAGGTGCGTCCGGATTGTGCTGATCTTCATTTTTTTCTTGAATCGATCCCAGTCTTGTTGAAGTCAGAATTAAAAACCCTATCTTGGTAATATCGGCGCCCAGATCCCGATCCCAGTTAGGCTGAGTGTTGGACTGGGACAATTTTGCAAGACGTTACCTAAATGACAAAATAGATTAGCATGTACGGCTGAACGTCGCACTTCAATCGAAAAATCGTATTAGCATGCAATCATATCAGTGATCTTTAACCCTTTCACCGCGATGTCGCCCACCGGTTGGCAACACTTTCTATTTCATATTTTAATCACTAAATACGTTTTATTTAAAAGACAGCATATATCACAAGATGCGGCGTGAAAAATTCGACAATCTTCAAAGTAAACCTTACTTCAATTGTGAAGTTTTTGTTTTCAGAGAAAGTAAAACTCAGTGTGACTAGTTTTTGAGGCTGTGAAACGACGATTTTTTTTTGCACGGATGTGAAATTTCATTTTTCTTATTTCATCTTTTTATCACCTAATATGATTTCATAAGAAGAAACAAAATATACCACTAGATGCAGCGTGAAACGCTCTACAATCTACATCGTAACACTTATCTCAGTTGTGTTCTCTTTGTTTTCAGGAAAAGCAAAACTGTGCGACCAACTAGCGAAAATTGATTATACAGAATTGTATTTTTTTAAAAAATAAAAAGGACAAAATTGAAATAGGTTTTACCATCCAAATTGTAGAACTTGTCACGCTGCATCTTGTGGTATATTTTGTTTTTTTGATAAAATGAATTTATAGGTGTTATTTTCTGTAAAAATCGAATCGCCTCGAAAGGGTTAAGATGATATATGCAAACTAGTTAGTAAATCCTTTTATTAATAGAATGAAACTTAAGACCTTCATCTAGCATAACAAAATTCTACTGTTTTTATGATTGATCGAAAATTGATTTATAACTCGTTCGCAATTAATATCGAAATCATGTTCGATAGCCAGCACTGTAAGATCACTTAATCGTCTATCAGACATTGAATTCCTATGATTTTTCATAATCTTCATTTTTGAGAATGATCTTTCACACGTAACTTGCGAAATGGGCATTGTTATTGAATTTGTAATCATTTTCATTGTTTAGGGAAATACATCTGCAAAAAGAATAAGTTTATTTAGAAACTGAACAACATCATTAATTTGTTTTCATGGAACCATAGATTTGATACAAATATGTTCGTTTCCAATGCATTTGAATCTGCGCCAACACGAGCATAAAATTCATTTATATAATCAATATTTAAAAAATTTTCTCTTTCTGGATAAATTGTGGATATGCTTTTTAACATTGATTAAGTTTTTGATGAAAATCTGTCATTCAGTTCGAATAACACACAATCGATCAAAGGAAAAATAATGCGATTCATAAAATCTGTTGATGCTGATAAAACTTCACGTTGGCCGACAGCTGAATCTATAATAATTTCTTCAAATCTCGCTGAAACTTTGGTTCGATATGATTGATATTGGTGAACGAATTCAATTTCATTTTTACTACAAAATTCTTTTGCTTTATCATAAACTTGTTGAAATGATTGTTCAGGACGATGATCTTTGATCTGTCGAATGATAGATTTTATGAAATATTCACTATGCAAATAATCTAAAGTAGAACCTTAAGAAAACGATATATTGTTTGCAGGTTATAATAAAACAAAAAAACTTACTTTTCAATTGATCGCTAAGGATCTTGATAATTCCAAACAATTGATGAAGAATAAACGAAGTTATAATAAATATTGATTTTTTCACATGTTTCAATAACCCACCAGCATTAACTGAGCGTGAATCACCATCTTCTTCGCTGATATCAACCAATGCTTTGATAACTGCCGCAGAATTATTAATAATCGCATCAGTTGAGCCCCACCTAGAATCCCATCGAGTTAAGCTCCAGAATTTCAACTTAAAAGATTTAGCTAAAATAACAATAAATGAAAATAAACCACGTTTGATAAATAATATAGAATAACTACCTAAATCTAACTCTTGTTGTGCTATTTTAAAATACATATTGGTTACACCAGATTCAGTGAAGAAGGAATAAATATTTGATACGATCGAGAAATAAGCTGACATGTAACGTACAACACTAAAAGTGTCAATAACAACCAAATTGAGACGACGTGCAGAGCAATGAATATAAATACCTTTTGGCATATATTTTCTTAGTAAAACATGAACACCTGCATGGCGACCAAACATAACTGATGCTCTATAACGGTAAAATAAATCAAGGTCTCAGTTTTGTAAATTTTACGCAAAAACAGGTGTAATCACTTACCCATCAAAACATAAACAAATGCATGAATCTGAAGAAATATTGAAACTTTTTAAAAAGTCAACAATCTTGTTAGCTAATACTTCAGCATCGAATTCATCTAATGCAACGAAACCAAGGAAGTATTCCTTCACAACATTTAAAGCATCAATTTTATGATCATTAGCGTCACAAACAAATCCAATAACAATAAATAATTATTGTTTACCACTTATATCTCGACATTCATCAGCCATTAGTGCATAATTACAGTTAGTCAACTACAAAAAATATAGAAAAATTCGAATATAGCACACGATTCAACAGGCGTAGATCACCATGAAAGCAATATCTTCACGTATTTGATTACTCATTATATGAATTAATTCATTTTGAATATCATCACTTAAATAAGTAGCATTGCTCGTGGAATCTTGAAAAATTAACTGCACTACTGGATCAGTCTGTGCTGCCCATTTAAGAATCTCTAAAAAATTACCTCGATTTGAACGTCTAAAACAAAATAGTTAAAAACAAATTTCAATACGTTTCAAGAGAATAAACTTGCTGATACAGATATATTTTTTCTCTTCCGAATCACAATGAATGTACATACTTTTCACTTTCGTCATGTCCTCTGAAGCTGATCATTTGGCGAGCCATCAAGTGTATCGTTGAAGATATTTTGATTAAACGATCATGGTTTCTTTGAATTCTAACACTATGATTAGAATCTAATTTATGAAGAACAATAGAATCTGTTTTTTCTCGTTCTCTATAAGATTCATAATTTCTTGTTGCTATTACGTGAGATTGACTTGAAGCATGTCGCGTTAAACCTGAATTTTTTTCTAAAGCTTTTTTCCATTGATTAAAACCTGTTGAAAAAATATCACCTGAATTTTATTTGTTAAATGAAAAATGCCGACAAAAATATCAATAGCAAACGTCATTTAAAACAGAATATTCCAACCAGATTCTATCGTGTACCAGCTTGATTGAAATGAACGTTTTTTGTTATTTAAAGGATAATTTTTCAATATTGGTTGAACAGAAAGATCATGGCATGATGTACTGATATCGTTGGGAACAGATTTTTTTCCAAAGCTTTCATTCAAAGAAAAAGATGCCGAGAAAGAAGATGATGATGTGGCAAGTGTAATATCAGACATGACCTGATCATTCGAATGCAACGATGGAATTAGACGAGGACCTTGACGTTCAGATGTCGATGGTGAAGATGTACTAATAACATTTGTTTCTGTTTCTTGATCGTCATTACGTGACTTTTTGTTAGATCAAAGAAAGAAGGATTTTATTAATCCACCTTTATCTCGATTCATTTTGAGAGATTTTTGTTTAATTCCAAGAAAAAAGTACATTTTTGGTGTTATTTTCTGAATACCCAATAAGAAAACTAAGCAAAACCTCCATGGCAAAGTAATCGGTAAATAGTGACATCACTTCTAGAGAAAATTTTGACTTCATAATTTTTTAACCTGAGGGGGTTCAGCCCCGCCAGCTCTCCCTCCCTCCCCCACCTTGGCGCCGCCACTAAATGTGAGGTGGGTGCATAGATACTTGAAATACTACAACAAGAAACGTTTATCCTTCGGGTTCGCCGACCCTTTTCTGAAAGAATTCTCCTAGTGCTGGTCAAATTCAAACGCTTTGGAAAACAAATAAGGCATTGCGACTGCTACTAGTCGTCAGATTAATCATGACTCTGTCATACATTACAGCTTATAGAAGACGAAGATTGTTCTCTTTACATGAATCGAACCGATTAGTCAATTGTCACTTAGTAATTTTCGAGTACTAGTTATGTCTACTAAAAGTTCCATTGCTGAATGGCAAGTCGTTCATCGGCCTTCATTCGGTCGGCCACTCACAGCTAGCCATTCATCTTTATAATGTGTTAGTCTATTTTCGCATCGCACACATGAAGATTACCATGAACACTGTGCTATGTTGCTGACAAAAAAATCACGTACTGTCCGTTTCAAAAAACAATATGCGTGGGTATTTTTTGAATAATTTTCGATAGAAGCAAGGTAGAGAGTTGCGATTTTCATTACTGGAAAGTGACTGAGTTAACTGATCGATTCATATAAAAGCATTATGATTTATTTCTCAAATTAATCATGGCCCACAGTCACCTTAGAAGAGATGACGGCTATTATGTGAGCATAGGACAAATCTTACATTCTAAGGGATGGGTGAGAGTCCCCAGTTCATGAGCTACAAAAATAGAGAGAGAGCTCGACTCAAATTTTTACTGTTTTCTAACTCCTGGGTATTATTTCCAACAATTCTAGCCCATTTTACTAGCAATTCTGATAAAAAACTCGATTATTTTGTAGTTTTTTTTCCCGAGAAAATCAGACCCGTTCTCACGACATTTCGTTTTCCACCACTGTACAAGAACTCGAAAGTCCAAGGTAAAGTCATTGTCTTATATGATGCGATGCGATTTAGTCTGAGCTTTTCAATGATGAATGTCGCAGCTTTCTATCATGCTTCTATCAAAAGTTTTTCGAAATGGGTAGTATAATCAACAATTTACAAAGCTCGCATATTAGTCTGTGTTTTTCATCCAACAGCTGATTCTTTTCTCTACTTTCAAAAAAATGACACTGCATTGGATATTTTCTTCAAAGAACATTCGTCAAATTCCTTTTAAAAATCTTTCCGATTTGATCAAGTTGTCCCAAACGTATACTTCAAGGTTAATCTGGGATTCGAACATTTAGTCGTTCGTCGGCCACTCACGGACAGTCGTCGATATGTATACAATCAGTTTCTTTTTTCCACCAAAAACTTAACCCGTTCATAATCGCTCGGTTTCTCATCAAAGATATTGAAAATTTCACAGAATAATGTCATCTGAAACTTAGATTTTATTCTTCGTTACAAATCATTCCAACTATCTAATACTTTCAATTCTCATTTTCAACCTAATTCTTCATATAAATCTCCAACCGTCGGCCAATCTCGTTCTCGTTATTCACTCACGCCTAGCCACCTCTATTCCTACTCTTAATATATAATCCGCTTTATCTTCATCCAAAACAAACGTGCGAATTCACTTCTAATTTGTCGAACAAAAATACGAAAAAAAGACCGAACAAGAATCGATCGAAGTTAATTTGTCGATACGAGAATCAGTTCAATTCAGAGAAATCGTTTTAATTGAAAATGTAACATGCATTTGAGATTCTTCTTATTATACATTCATCTAAATCAAACAGTTAACATTGTGTAGTACCTGCTAACCCTGTACTGAAACAATATCATCAGACCTCTCTTAATCTTCGAAAGAAATAAATAAACATTATTTCATTTGAATGATCCAATCAATTGATCATTTATTCTAGTCTTTTATTCATACTTATTTTGCTTCCACGGATCTCATCAAACTAACGCCTCGACGTTCGTCGGTTTCTCTCAGAGCTGTCACTGACGGCTAGCCATTGATCCTACATAAATTTCTATGATATTTTCATACTGAGCGCGTTTGCCGTCACCGTTATAAAAATTCTTCGTATCTGTATGATTCAGAGGCGATACGTTATTGTTCACTTCAATTTAAGGAGCTGATAATGTGCAGAGCTTATTCTCGAAGTTCGAAGAGACATAAGTATACACTGATGAAAATTTTCGTAGAATAATAAAGCCTCAAAAAAAGGGTTTATAACTGAAAAATTCGTTTATCAACGTGATCAACCCTTTTTTCTTGATAAACCCCAACAAGGTATATTATTCGTTGCAAACTGATAAAAACAACAGTTTATTGTCTCCTGATAAACCCTTTTCTCGTTGATCAACTGGATCAATTGTAATCGAAAGGTTTCTTGGAAATGATGATAAACTCTGAGTTTGAGGGTTGATTCAGTTGATCAACGAGAAAAGGGTTTNTCTTGGAAATGATGATAAACTCTGAGTTTGAGGGTTGATTCAGTTGATCAACGGGAAAAGGGTTTATCAGGAGACAATAAACTGTTGTGTTTATCAGTTGGCAAAGGATAATATACGTTGTTGGGGTTTATCAAGAAAAAAGGGTTGATCAAGGGGTAGATCACGTTGATAAACGAATTTTTCAGTTATAAACCCTTTTTTGAGGCTTTATTATTCAACGAAAATTTTTATCAGTGATATAGACCTTCAAAAAATAATTGATACTAGCTAGGGTGTTAAAAAGCTCATCTTTCAAGTATATAACTTTCAAACGAGACGCCTCCATTATGCCTTTCATTTTTATTAGCTGTCAAATTGAATACCTAATTTTCTTTCCATGATTGCTTCTACAGGGGTGACCTTCCCATATTTGACTACCAAAAGAAACAAGATAAGAAGCTTTTATGCTTTACCCAAGCAGACAGAGTTTTCGAAAAACGCGTTTACACGATCAAAAAGTGTTCTTTACACCCTTAAAACGGCGTTTTTAGCGTGTAAAAAAAACACTTTTTGATCGTGGAAACGCGTTTTTCGAAAACTTTGTCTGCTTGGGTACCGCGAAAAGAGCTCCCATCATAACGCTTTATATTATTAGAATACTATTGGTATAGTCGATGCCTCTGTCGATAATAAGATGGAATTGTAGTGTCAGACATACCCTGCTGCGACATATTTCTGCTGAAATCCTATCGAAAGGCCTGATGTATTGCAGCTAACGATGTAATAATTATATCAAGCTCTATCGCTTCTTCTCATTTCTTGAATTACAAATATTATAATATAAGATATACTAAATCTTTTTGTGTGAGCTCCTAAACTACTATGTTCGCACAGAAAACATACAGGAATAACGTTTAACCCACGCGCCGCCTACAAAAGATCTCAGAAAAAATACAGGAAAACACATCTTTTGGGAAGAGTAATGTAGATGTCGGAGGTTGATGAATACGAGAAAAACTAACTTCAGATTCGAGTTCCGCGATCTCGATTACCACACGACAAGTAAATCCCTGATGACTATCAATAAATTTCATTGATTTCATAAATGCTGATATCTGCTTGGAAAGGACAGACAGACAGTTAAACTTTAAGCTTTTTTAGCCTAGAATTTAACTGCTGTTTAACCCTTTCTCTCAAAAAAAGGAAAGAATTGAACACTAGAATAGCGGAATACTTGAATTTAACTTTCAAGTTTGACAATACTGCCGAGCTCCAAGCATTTTAACTTACCTTCAGACTGGCGCATCCAGGTCCACATTTGGCAACTTTTCTTGTCCTCACGTCCACACCCACACTTCTATTTTTCTTTATTTCTCAAGATCTCACACATTCATAAAACTGAAAATATGCTCGATGTGTTCATGCATGCCTTTGTTTCTCATCTTCGTCGCTTGCACGGCGGTCATATTGAGGAAAACAATCATGACACTCATATCATGTGCATGTTTATGAGATCTCCAAATGTTACGGTTCGCGATACTCAACGTTCTGCGGCNAAAATGCAATGTGTACTTAACGATAACTATTTCTAAGACTGGGCCATACTTGTTTGATTAACTACTGTTTGTCCCCACATCTGGAGTACTGGATCTCTTTCGTATGAGAAGAGCAGTGGCAGGGTGGGACCACGTTCATATGCAGTAGAATAAAGTATTGCGATGCAGTCATCGTCTCTGAAGTGGGTGCTCTTTCCGAAGCAGAGTTAACGTCATTATTGGTATTTAACGTTTGCGAAATATGCGAGTGCTGTTGATACTAACTCACTCTGGAAGAGTTGAGTTGAAAAATAACATGAGTTCCATGTGCATAGTCATCCTAGCGGCATCGAACAATGGTCGAATTTGAGCGATCAATTTGTTTCGTTGGAATA